CTGAAACGGTATATGTTCAGTCATCACAAATAGCCTGTTTAATCAAATTTTATCCATTCTCTGATGAATCATAAAATTGGGATGATTTTAAAAAAATACTCCGTAGATTAGATGTTTCTATTTTACTGGCATTTGAATTCAGAAACTTCGATGTATATATTGGCGAAGGTGCAAGGACCTTGGATTTCTTAAAATGGCGAAGGTGTTAGTTAATGTAAGCGGCCCAATACTGAAAACTTCAAAATTTCTAATATATAACTAAGTTAGGCGAAAGCAAAACTTATGAAAAAACAATCACGACATGATCCTTAGAATTATCCAATATACAGGATGTAACATAAGTACGTTGAAATATTCAAGTGACGTATTTCTAAGACAATTTTTAGAAAAAAATTTATATAAACTTGTGTCCGGAAATGCGTCGTTTCGGAGATACGAGGTGTTGAAATTGAATATTTTTGTTCGTTTTTAAAGATAACTTTAGCAAAAGTTGAAATTATGAAATTTGGTAGCCGGGGATTTTGACGTGGGAAATCATAATTTCCTATCAATTTTCATGTAACATCTAGAGGGCGCTGCGTACTCTGTCATTATTTATTTCAAATTGCCCTAACTATTTTCACAGTAACCTTTTCCAAGTATTACAGGTACACTTTCTCAACAATGCTGGAGGTAATCGTTTTAGAGAAGTTTTTTCGGAAATCATGTTTGTATTTAATACTTTGACCTTACCTACATTGACTTTCGTTGGTTTTCGCTCGTCATGGAAACATTCGAATAAATTTTTGGTTCTTACCATCACAATCACTTTTTCCTCTATTTGACACGGGTTTTTTAGGGTGTCCGTCAAAAAGGAATCTAATATTCACACAGGCCACATGGATTACTTTTGGTTCATATTCTGGAATTATTAGAAGGTATAAAGATACCCATCAGTTGATAAAACAGCAGCAATTGCAATCTAAAAGTACGAGCAAAAAGACGCATAAAAAATCAATATTTTTTCGTTTTCTTGCCTACTGAGAGTACGATAAAATTTGTTGTTGTATTTTTGTTTATTATGAAATTCTCTACAAAAATATCTTTGTACGTACTCTCGAAATCGGAAATAGAAACACCTATGACGAAGTTAGTCATGCAAACTAAAAAGAAATTAGATATGACAGCCCTCAAAGCCGGAAAAAGATATGTATATAATTTTCATAAATAATATGTAATGAATATATTGCGCTCGTAAAGGTAGGAAAAATGTATATTTGCAATGTTATTGAAAATGATATCACTATCAGGGTGTGAGAATATCAGTATGAAAATATTATATTTTCAACACGCTAACATTTCCAACAGTATGCGAAAAAATATTGTACCTATTATTCACGTGAGTTTCCAATAATTCCCAGTTGTATACACTTACTGGAGATTTTAAAATCACATAACAGATTTTAAACAAGGGAGATTCTAAATCAATATACGAGTATGTTGAAATTTCATATAGAACGCACGTGATCCCTGCAAATCATCTTACAGTCTCTTCACAAATTGATGAAATGAACCGAAAATAAAATTGATACGACCTTCATTTTATTACAACTCTAAGTTCTTGAGATACTTTGATCGAATATAAAAAAACTGACTCTTCTGAATGAACAATGAACAAAATGAAGAAGAGTCGCAAAGAGTCGTATTGGAATTTCAGAAGACAAACTACTGGATGTTCTAGTGAGAGTACCAGATTTTGATTTTTTTTTAAACCAAAAATGGCACCGATACTGTCGCAACTCAGTACTCGCTAGGCTATTATCGAGAGGATTTTATTCACTATTCCACCCATTCATTCATTCATCTAAAATAATGAAAGAACTCATTTGGAAACTTAATTAAATATTTATTATGAAGAAACGGAAAAAATACTTTAGGAATAAACTCACACTCAAATATTAATAAAAATATACACTAAAACACCAAAAACTTACATTATACTGCCACCCAGCAGGGTTGAAGATAAGATGTGCTGCATTGGTGATGATCAATCGATACTCAAATGAATCTGTTTAAAATCTGTTTAAAATCTGTTTTTTCCGTTAATCAGCTGAATACTGTCTGTTCATGATCTTGACCTCCTTCAATATTTATGAAGATTTATACGCTGACATTGCAACTTTGATCCAGTCACTGTACTAAGGTAAAATTCTCAACATGCAATCTGTGCAAAGTTTGCGTATTTGGCGTTTTATACTCTATGTCCGGTGATTGGATCAATTTCGATGTCTATGAACTTGGAATATTAAAAGATGGAATTCTAAATACTGGGTGTTTTTGTTTTAGAATATTGAAGTTGAGGTTGGAACATCTTTCAATTCATGTATTCACTTAAATGAATTTGAATTATTTCATGATTATTTTTCATATTTGACAATACAAAGTGTATGTGTTTTGAATAAATTTCGACTTCTGGATTTGTTGTTCAACAGCTCGTTAATGAAAAAACAGAAATAAACTTTTTTTTATCCAAGTCTGAAACGAATGACGAATCAGCTGGATTTATCATTCGTGGGTATTGTTGTGTTGTTTATAGCCCTTTGTTGGATTTTCGTAGATGAACGGTAGACATTCTCTGGCAACCTTAAAAGAAGCCTCGAATTCAATTTAGGGAACCACTCGTTAATGGAATTTAGTTTATTCGTTTGTATTTTTTTATCGCTACCTGAAACATTCCTGAAAGGTCTGCCGTTTGATTCTCATTAAACGAGTTACTCTTGATGAAAGGATTTTTTTAGAGTTGAAACGTTATATGACTTCAATAATGTGCTAATGAAATGGGATATTTTATTCACTTATACTCGGCATCATCCTACTAATTACCAGATACCAGAGAGAGTAGTTTTGTCTTTCACGTGTGTTCGCTACTGGATATAGAATATCAATCGCATTGAGTGCATTTTAATGAACTTAGTTCATTGACGTTGGACGGCCGACGATTCTGCGATATCTGAATCAATCCGTATATCGTAATGTTTTTCTACCACGTCAACTAAGGTATAAAATTACCTTGAATTACTATAGGCACAATGAGTAATTGGTTCCTGAGTAGAAACACCTGATTTTATCGAGTATCGAGAGGGATGTCAAATGAAAGAGGGGAAAATTTTGAATCTATTAGTATCGTTCAATTCCAAAACATATCACGCCAAAGATGCATGATGTTTCGTCTACTACTGTGGTAGACATTATCAAAGGCGATAAGATAACGATCGAAGTGCTCGAGTTGTTCCCAACGTAGAAACATATATAAGAGAATATATTCACAAATCTGTAATCTGACTACCAAATTGAAGGAAAAATACAAGAATCTGTATAACTTGACTAGAGATAAATTAGGTACTGATTGTGTCCTCATTTTATTGACTATGATGTGTCCTTTTGATACGCTTAATATCCCAGTTTATTTAGTTCTATTATAGTTTTCTGGCATTTTCACTTTAATGACTTCTTCATGAAATTAATATCATATAAAATATAATATAAATTATTTGTCACATTACATGCCACCACCGCACCGATTTAACATAGTTTTCAGATGGTTCGGAATTTGTATCTTTCTTTAAATTGAACGAGTATATTTTTAGGAGGGAGTAATTTTTGCCTTTCTACTTTCCCATCTTGATACAGAAAATTTGGGAATCTTCCAAAGAAAGGAAGGAAGCAATCAATTTCAAATAAATTTACTCTAAACAAAAATGTGTAGATCATTCAAAGAAGTAACTTTTAGATTCAGACACAAACTGGAAGAAAAAGCCTTTTCGAAATAGCTATTTTGCTATTTTCATATGAAAATTGAATTACACGAAGAAAAATACTTTAGAAAGAAATACTTTTATATGAACGCTGAATTATATCAAAAACACTTTTCTCTATTTCGTTTGTATTCCAAACATTCGAAATGGAATCGAATTAGATATAATTCACAGGATTTCTACACAATATAATTAATATAAGAAGTAAAATTTCACTCAATTCACAAAAAAAAGTGTTTTTCGTATAATTCAGCGTTCACATAAAGGTTTTGTGCTAGGGGTTTTTCTTCCAGTGTGTGTCTGAAAGTTACTTCTTTGAAGTATCTACACATATTTGTATAAAGTACCTAAATGTTTTTGAAATTGATTGATTCCTTCCTTTCTTTGGAACATTCCCACATTTTTCGCATATTTCATTTGGGAGGAAGGAGGTATTTCTTGCTTCCTCAGCATTATGGTGCGTTGACATTACAGAAAAAGTTATCGTAGTATAATATGGCCGATATCATGATAATATCATCTTACATGAGTTTACTGTAAATCTCAAAGATGACGTTTACAAAGGTAGACACAAGCTCAATTGTTAGTTTGAAATGGTGAACAAAAAATCCAATTTCAAATCTGCAAATTCAATTTCAGTTGATCGTATTATTGTTCATTATGAAAATGTTCGCACAGTATTGTGCATTTTCAAGCAGGGGAGTATCGAAGAGAGGGCTATCAGGCTCAAGTCTCCTCGAGAATTGAAAAATTCAGGTGGGTTCGTGATTTTTTTTTTTATTTTCAACATATTTATGGGAGTCGTATAGTTCAGTAGCAATAGAAACTTAGAAACATTTAACATCATCGACTATTCTCATTAATGTTCAAAACCTCCGAAACAAAATCATTCTGGGTTCACTTCATTCTTTACATGTATCCATAGAAAGAAGAGGTGTAAAATCAGAGGATTTTGCTGGCTAATCAGTCGGAGTACCTACTATTGCATTTTTTTGCATATCGCTGAAACACTCTGGCAATTTTTGGGCCAGACCACCAACTGTCTTTGCCTCTTTGCACGCTGTATGTGACTTTGTTTCGTACCTCGTTCGGTTCGGATACGAACAAGACTTTACTTTTCTCTCAAACGTTTTGGTTGATTTTCCGCTTGCAAACCTTCGCTTGCTTCATATCTTCCAAAATTGAACTAATCTTCATTACTTCCAGAATGCGTCTGCACAGGCGGCCTTGCAAGCAGCACAGGCGATCACAAACAATTCCGGTACACCAGCGGTCAATTCAGTAACTCCAGTCACTAACGGGCAGGACATACAAGGTGGACCCAACACAGTTCTCAGAGTAATCATCGAACATATGATATACCCCATCAGTTTAGATATTTTACATTTGGTAAGTGAGGATTTGTTAGCAGTTTTGCAAATATGTATTTGTATCGTAATTAATTTACAAGCTTTGACGTTTCAACAATTGCTGCTACCTCTTGATTGAATTGAATAGGGTATATTTTTAGTTAAAAAAATCATACCTCTCCATTTTTATACAAAAATTATAGGAACCTTCCGAAGGAAGGAAAAACAATTAAGTTCAAAATAAACTATCTACAAGTTGTGTAGATTAAACTGGACTAATCTTCCTCTTGAAGATGATGAAGATGATCACTTGGTGATCGAAACACATGTCGAGGTGTTGAAATAACGGTTTGGCGTTGGGATAAAACTCCGGTAATATTCATCATCTATATAATGTTACTCTTTTTTGTAAATTGATCAAATTTAGACATATCTCAATCTCATTTCGCCATTCTAAGAATTTTTTATCTTTCTTTTTGAATGAAATAATAAAAATAATATGTTAATGAGAAGTGTTTACCTATCAGTTAAATATTTTCGCGATTATCAACATACAGTGAGCCAAAACCGAACCTTGTGGAACACATTTCTATAATTATCGATTGCTATATACTGTTTTCGATTTTGAAAATAAGTTTTTGATACCATTCATATCAGTGACTACATTCTTCTGAGTGGTATATCTAGTGAAATTTTATAATTTAGTAACCGTATCAAATGCTGTTTTGAATCTAAAAATATTACAATTCCTTAGTTATTTATATCTTAACTTCTTAATAAATAATTATTGATAGTATTTTCATAATTTGTCTATTATTATTCTGAATTCCTATTTGTTAATTTATACTTTTTTGCAGATATTCCAGCGTTTTGGAAAAGTACTGAAGATTGTTACTTTCACAAAAAATAGTAAGTATTTTCAATTCAGCATAATCATCATAAAATAAATTGGCTTGGCAATACAATTCAGTTATATATCGGGTGTACTAAAATTAGCGAAACAAGGGAAAACTTTCAAGGAATGCATTTTAGAAAAAGGTGGTTCAGAAAAAAATTCAAGGATTTTTATGGCTATTTAATGTGCTACCAGATTTAACCTTGACAACTACCTCAATGGTCCAAATAATTTTTAAACGGCAACCCATATTTTTCATCCCGGATTTGATGTGAATGAAAATTTCATGTCCTATTATTGCCTTGACTTTGCCCCTAAAAGTTATCGAGTTATTGATATCAAGGTCAGAACTATAACATTATTCTCGACACATGTTTTATTTAGATTATCTCCTGATGTTGGCAATTTGATTGGTCAATTGCGTGTCGAGAAGAATGTTGCAGTTCTGATATTTGGAATAAATGTTTTTGTTAGAATTTTTCATATTCGTATTGAACTTGAAAATTTAATAAAGATTTTATTACTCATTAGAGACGAAAATTGTTACCGTAACAGTTTTTATAACAAGAAAATTATGTGAAGGAATTGTGACCGATGCTAGTAAATAAAGTGTTAAGAACAAAATATACTAAATGAACAAATAATTATTACGATATTAAGTTGTATTTTTGAATAGACCCATCACATTGCAAATATTTTCATTTTGCAATTTGAATCTAAATTGGAGGATGAGCAGGTATTATCATTACATCGTTATCACTAACGCAAATAATAAGATTTGTGATGTTCCTCAGGTAATTCTTGACCATCTTCTTTTTCTATCACCTTTCATTTCATCTTACTCTAATATATAGATCAGAAATAAGATGGTCAAGAATAACCTGAATATTTCTAGATTATAGATTTTTCTTGAAAAATGCACAAAGAAGGTGGTCAAGAATAACTTGAAGAAACACCCAATCCGTTTTTTTCGTAATTGTGATAACAATGTAACAATCGGTGAAGAATATTGATAACTCAAACATTTTGGAGTTTCATACAACACCAGTCATCCTATGGATATCCAATCAAATTCCAATTCAGGTCAGGAATATTGTTGTTGATCCCTTAGAGGACTTGGAATGAATATCCTTCAGTGGATATCCTAAGGACATGCATTAGATATCCACAATATGTATGACATCTATGGGCCTAGCCTATAGGTTGATATACTCCGAACGTCCATAAGATATATTTTGGACATAATTTGAACGTCCATTAGATATCCACTGTATGTCCGTATCGTATTGTATTGGCGAATATAATTGATTTTGTATCTCAATTTTTTTATATGTTACCATATACAAACCGCCAACCAAACAAATGTTAACTGTTATTTTTCAGGTTCATTCCAAGCTTTGGTGCAGTACCCTGACAACCAATCAGCACAGGCAGCTAAACAGGCCCTAGATGGCCAAAATATTTACAACAGTTGTTGCACTCTTCGCATCGACTACTCCAAGATGACGTCTCTAAACGTCAAATACAACAACGACAAGTCAAGAGACTACACGAATCCCAACTTACCAACAGGAGATGGCAATGAACAACTGGCGCTAACTGGCGGTCTTGCTGGTGGTTTGGGGGCCGATATTTTGTTGTTGGCCACTCAGCCAAGGCTTGCAAGGGAAAGATTGGCAGGTGAGGTTCTTTCCTAAACTTGTTCACGGAAAAGCATGTCACAATTCGAGAATGTATATTTATGATTATGATGATAAATATTTTATGATTTAATGTTCAAACTCGTTTACTTTTCAACAGTATATTATGCTACAATTACTGTTACGATTAATGTCAACAGTATATAATATAAATTGATTTGAAATCCCTGGAAGAATCTGTAAAAATTAAAAAAGATTAACCGAAAAATAACAATTTCATTAAACAAAAAACTGAAATTACAAAGAAATAACATACAAGCAACAACCAAAAAAATTAAAAAATTGAAATATTTAATACAAGCTGAAAATTAAAAAATATTATTAACAAGAAATGAAAAATAGAAATTAAAAAGATTCCAAACCAAGTTACGTCACGACGTTTCGATTGTTAGTATCCACAATCGTCTTCGGGTGATAACTGGACTTATTCCTCCGAGATCTGACTATTTATAGGTCATTCGAGTGCTTTCACCTATCCCCTCTTTAGCAGTAAACCAAAAAAAATCAATTTGACCTGAGGGTTCAAGATATCTCTTTGGAAAATGTGGAAGAATGCAGAACTTGTTTACACATTTTTCTCGTTGTCATCAGGTTGACCCACTAGTAAGATATTTGAATGACGTGTCTTCAAAATTCAATAGATAATAGACGAGAACAATCTTCAACATTTGAATTTTGTGATGAGCATTTAGGTAAATATTTAAATTTCTTTACAGATTCAATTCTCTCAGGTACTCCAGGTGTCCTCAGCAATCCATTTATGCACGGTCTTGCGTCACCACTCGCAGCCCCATATGGAGGTGGGGTAGCCGGTGGCATACCCGGTTTGGCGAACTTTGCTCTCGGCCAGACCGCTCCTGGATTACGAGGATTGGCGACTCCTGGACTTGCAATGGCAACCGTCCTGCTTGTGAGCAATCTCAATGAAGAGGTTGGTATAAATATGAAGAATAATAATAGAATTTAATGGGGGTTTTTGACGTTTTTTTACATTACTCTGTAGCAGAAAGAATATTTTTTATTGATATTCAATTCAACGAATCATTTGGCTTGGATCTTCATACCCAAGCTACCCTTTTGATAAAACCTTATGGTTTATTTCCTTCAATTACAAATTTTTTTTATTAGAACGATTTTTTATAAGTACTGAAGCATAGTTATGCAGGATTTTTTATTTCTAAGCTACTGTTTGGCTGGTTAGTCCCTTGCGTGGTTTTCTTTATAGTAATTATTGAATTTATCTCTTTGTGATCATAACTTTCTCAATCTCACTATGGTATGTTCCATTGAAGAAAAGTATATTCTAAAAGTTTCATTCAAATAACCTAGTTTTACTTCATCATATTATTGACCTTCATTCTCAATGGATTGATAATGTTTCTTAAGAAAGAATGCATTGGAGTGAGACTTTCCCAGGTTTACTCATTGTTCCCATAGAATTTGCTATCGCTAATTTTTTTTGTCATATTATTTGAGTGTTCAGGAGCAACTTTTTAGTGGCAATTGCCTTTTTATTTAACAACAAATAACAATATGATTCTATGTACGATCATTCATTGACATAGCAATAAAAAAAATCGTTTCAATAAATTAAACAGAAATGTTATAAATTGTTTTCTTTAAGGAAAGCACCAAATGAATTATTTTAAGAATGATTCAAAAACAAATGAAACTTATCAAATATATTCCCTGAGTAGAAATTCCGATATTTTTCTAACAGTCTTGGTTATTGTTGAATATAATTTTTTATCATTCATAATGGCCAAGTGATTTCTTGGAAATTTAATATTTTTAGAAATTTCAAGGAAACAACATGAGAGTGAAAGTTACTTGTTCAATTTTGAAGATATTAGTTGAGTTGTTGTATTCTGTATTTCAATGTATAATCTAGAAAGTAAATGAGATTTGAGGTATATTAGATACTTTTTTATTCCAATTGATCTAATATTTTTTCCATTGATATTGAAAACTTCAATTATTTCATTTTTTGAGCCTGAATTTATATATTACTGAAAACTATTACAAGTAAAAGTTGTCTGTACCACTCCTTCTGTTTTAGTAGTTTGTATTAGACTCGATTCCTTCTAGAGTACTATAGATGAATTTTAGAATAGAAAATAGCAGCCATAATTTTTGAATTTTGTACAGTTTAATTTTTTTTTTCAAATTTTCACTTGATATCTGAATGAAGTGAACTAATTGTATATGTTATTAAACTGGATATAATTTTTTAGTAGATTTATGTATATAGCATTAATCATCTAATCATAAAATATCTTCCATGCTCCTATTAACTTTAAAATTTCTCTAATATTTCAATTGATTAATATATCTATCTGATGAGACATGCTATATATGTTTATAAGGCTTTTTTGAATTATTTTCATAAATTACACATAATTTTACAATAACATCACACGGAGTGGCCTTATGAACTTTTTTATTGAGAAATGCATTGGTACTATTTTTAACAGTGTATACATTTTTTATTATACAAAGTCTAATGCTGTTTTTCTTTTTTTACATCTGCTGCCCCTCCGGTGGCATATACGCTACCTCTTTGTGCCACGTTACATCCTACTGTCATCTTTCTCTATTGTAGATGGTTACGCCTGACGCTCTCTTTACACTATTCGGTATGTTTTCACACTCAATTATATCGTTAACGCTACTAGGTAGATTTATGTTATGAATATTTCTCATTTCTGAATACCTCTTTTACCATTCAAAATTATTTTCACCTCAACTACTTTTCATTGTGTGGTGTTTTCATCTGTCCTTTATTAAATGTCAACATAATGTCAACATAAGAAAGAGGTCAGAGATATAGTAGACACCTTACTTTTTAAATGGTATCCAAATTTAATAAATTTTAAATATATCTCCATTTCAAAATCAACTTATATTTCCTTGTTAAAATTTGATTGTACATTTTATAGTTGCCATGTCAATTTAGGTGGTTTTGAAAAGTTTTCACATAAATTACAAACAACTTTTTCAACAAAAGTACAGCTACCGGACTGAGTCATGGCCGGTGGGAGAAATCATACATACATACATGACTCAGTCTGGCAGATGTAATAGGTTACTCCAATCGAAAAAAATGTACAGAATACTTTTCATTCACCATGATTGTGTCTGTGTAATGCAACATTCAATGTTTTCAATTTGTTTATTTTGAGATATCGATATTGAAATTATTGTTTAGACAAATGATTTTGTAAGACTGGAAAACAACAGTTGGATGTTTTCGATTTTTTTGTGGTTATCCTATAATAGATCTATTCAAAATTTATTATATTACCATACAATTAACAACAGATGTGTATATATTTTGATTTATATGACTGTGCTATTAGTTTGGATGCTATATTTTTGTTCAAGAATGCTCAGAACTCAATATTTACCAACTTCACTTGTTTTTTTATAAACTTTCTATTAGAGTTTCCATAGTATTTGTCTTAGTACAGTTTGAAACTAAATGTACACCAACTCTATATTTCTGAAAAATGCATGACAAAAAAATTTATTTTAAAAAATTGATATTTTCCTTCCTTATTCTTTTCTATACCTGATTTTACCACAGATTGGATCAATTTCGATGTCTATGAACTTGG